CCACGACTCCACCACCGACGGCGGCATGCGGCGCGCCTTCAAATGGATCAAGCAGGATGCCCCGTGGGCGTGCACCAACTCTGCGGGAGGGCCAGGCGTCGCTAAGTCTACCGCGGGCGAAGCACGTGATGCAGTTCAACCCTGGCACGACCTATGGGGACAGGGTGAGGGCATCGGAGCAGTACGGTGGCCTGACAACATCGGCGGGATCGAGCTGCCGACGATCGACGACCTTCGGAAGACGGCGCACACCTTCAAGTCAGATACTGGGCTGGGCTGTGACGTGGTTCACCCTCGCCACCTGATTTCTCTCAGCGATGAGGCACTTCAGGCATTGCTGACGCTATGGAGCTCGATGCTGCAGCTTGGCCACGTCCCGTTCCCAATTCGTGTTATGCGGGAAGCGCTTCTGCCGAAACCTGATGGAGGACGGCGCGCGATCGGCATATTCCCTGGCACGGTGCGGCCGCTGACACGGTTCCCACGGGCTACGGTAGGCGCGCAGTGGTCGGACAAGAACAAGCGCAGCTACATCTTGGGCACCGAGGGTCAGAGCTGCGAGGCATGCGTATGGCGGCAGGCGGCTGCGGGCGAGTGGGCTACGCATAGTGGTAAGACCTGCCTGCCAATTCTGTTGGACATGCCCAAAGCATACGAGTACATCAGCTGGCATCGTTTGACTGATCGAGCCAACGAACTTGGGTTCAACATGTGCGCGTTACGGCTGCTGATCAAGCTGTGCGCCATGCCCAGGCCCCTCTCATGTGAAGGCATTGTCTTCGATCTGATGACGCCCATGCGCGGCGTAGTGGCTGGATGCTCCTTCGCAGATCTGATGATGCGCAGTTTTCTCATTCCCATTTTGGATGACCTGGTAACGCTACCTGGGATCTCAGTCGGCAACGTTGTTGACGATATCCAGATGCAGGCCACAGGTGCTAGCGCAGCAGCTCAGCAAGGCATACCGCCAAGCAAGGAGTGCCTTGCAGGATGCCGAGCTGTTGCTGAACGAGAAGAAGGGCAAGCTCGTCGGCAACTTTTTCCAGGCCAGCGTGGACCTCGGCAAGCGCTGCCCCTCGCTAGTGCAGGCCAGAGACCAGTCGACGCGCAACCTGGGCTGCGACTACAGCTGTGGCAAGCGGCGCGGCATGCAGACGCGGCTGGGGGCGCCTGGGCAAGGTAATACAACGCAGTGTAACAATCAGGGCACTCCGTAGGGCCAGGGGTACATGCAAGCAGCTCGTCAGCATGGGGCTCGTACCTGCTGGTACCTGGGGCGATGGGGCCACTGGAAGGTCCTGGAGCGGGGTGATGGCCCTCAGGAGGGCTGCGCGGGCTGCCCTGGTCCCTCACACGGCTCGCAGATCCCTCACCATCGATCTGGCGTTGGCCCCTGGAGATACCACGGCCGTTGGCCCCGCCTACCCCTGCACGGTGAACCCCATCGCGATGCTTGCTCAGGCCTTTTGGGACTCTTGGATGCCTCGGGAGATCCTCTGCCGCATGCTCTACTACGCGGATAAGTCCCTCCGCGAGGCCCGCACGCCATGGAGCAAGGTCGTGGGCCCCGTCTCGGCTGCGCTGGCCTCATGTGTCAGGACTGGGTGGGCTCTTGGAACTGGCGTGGGGAAGCTCTGTGCGGCTGACGGAGAAGTGCTTGACCTATGTCGTGAATGCCCCCGTACTGCGAGGATGGTTGCCCAGTGGGGGGTCGAGGCATGGCTCCTCGACAAGGCCCGTAGTGAAGAAGGCTACCTCCAGTCACTCTCCCACGGCCCCTACCTCGCCCCTCTCAAGGCCCTCGTGTCCAGGCGTACTGATGACGACTGGACTGGCATGCATAAGGCCACGGTTCGGCGCCTGGCTGCCAATGGGTTCTGGGGGGATGAGCGGCTGCGCAGTGTTGGCCTGAGGGATAGCCCAATGTGCTCGCTTTGTGGGGAGGCGCCTGGGACGGTGGGTCACTGGTGTTGGGGGGACTGTGCGGGCACTTGGGCTTTCCGACGCGATTACCTCGCGCCACCTTCCCTCCGAGAGGGAGTTTTGAACCATCCCGATTGGCCCCTTTGGTGCCACGGCCTTGTGGCCGACCCTCGTCCGTGGCTCCCTCGTCCCGCGATGGATCTGCTCGTTCACTGGCGTGTGCGTCCTCCCTCGGGGGCCTTCGAAGGCCCATGTTTCGGTGATGGCTCGTGTAGTTCTCTTGTGGCCACCGACCCCAGGCTGCGCAGGGCTGGATGGGGGGTGGCCCAGGTGGTTCAAGCGGTTTAGATGTCCTGGCCTCGCTGTGCGGCCCCCTCCCAGGTTTAAACCAAAACTCAGAGGTTGCCGAATTGTTCGCTTTCAAGATGTATCTGGATAATGCTGGCTTCGGCCCATACGAGTACCTCTCTGATTGCGACTGCGTGGTCTCGAGCTTCCGTAAGGGTCGCTGCGAGACTACAGGTACCATGCACGCCTGCGCTGACTTATGGGAGGGGGTTTGGGACCGTGTGTGCGACCTGGGGGGTGAGATTGGTGTGACAAAGGCCAAGGGTCACGTGCGAGGGCGCGACGACGACCTTGACGAGGGCGCGAGATGGCGGCGGCCCGGCAACAAGGCTGCCGACGAGGCGACACGGGCTGGCGCCGCCCTACACCCCTCTGACCAGGAGGCCGAAGATCGTGTGATCCGCTCCTATCGATTGGTCCAGTATGTTGTGAAGTACCTGGCCAGGACCATCCGTGGAGCGGGGCCAGGCCTGGCGTCCGCCTCCCGCCGAGAGGTGGGGCTGACGAGGATGCGCCGAATCGTCCCTCGGCTCTCGGATGATGCTGCGCCTCCCGAGGGCTCCCATGACCCTGTCTGGTTTCCCAACGGTGGCCACAGGTGCATCAAGTGCCTGCGTTCGGGAGGCACGGTCCAGATTTGGAAAGCCACTCCATGCAAGCCAGGTGAGGGCCACCGCGTTTGGACGGTGGGCCCCTTTTGTGTTCTGTAGTGTTTGCGGTGCCTACAGTGAACATAACACCCAGAAGCTCGGTCAAGGTTGCCGTGAAAGCTGCCCGCGCGGGTCTGTGGCGCGGGACCGCCTGCGGAAGTTGTGGCGTGGCTGCCACCCCCGCAGTGGGATCGAGCTTCGGGTCTCGGGAGTTGGACCCCGCCCCACCCCCTTTGGCTCATTCGCCCTCGACCACAAATTTAAGGACCTGGAGGACCTCCCTGGTTCCGAGGAGGAGGATGTGGCTTGAGGCGTGGTCGGCCCTGGGTCCGCTCCCGCTTTAGTTTTGCGTTGTTCCTGACGGTGGCACTCGTCTCCCCTCTTCCTCCTCCTTTCCCCCCCCCCCGGGAGGTGCCCGTCAGCCACTCGTTCGCGCCCTAAGCGCGAGGCCGCTGGCTGCTAGTCTCGACTGCACCCATTGGCCCCACCAGCACAAACCCCTCCTCCTCCTCCTCATCGGCCTCCTCCTCCTCCTCCTCAGATTCCGCCTCCTCCTCCTCATCCTCCTCGTCTTCGTCGTCTTCTGCATATTCGTCCTAGTATTCTGCGCGTTCGTATATTACTCGCCTTCGTCTTCTTAATAGTATCGTTGGTCGTAGTATTAGTAGTGTTGTTAGCATTCGTCTCATTCGTAGTCGAATTAGTAGTAGTCGTAGTATTAATCGGATTCGTATTAGCCGTCGTATTCTCAGTAGTACCAGTCTTATTCGTAGTAGTATACGTAAGCGCCGTGTCCGTCGCAGTAGTAGCCTTCTTGTTGCTGGTATTATGAATCGTATCATTAGTATCAGCCGTAGTACTAGTAGTGTTGGCAGTCGTAGTCTTAGTAGTGTCCTTATTATTCGTAACAGCATGGCTAGCATGATTGATATTCGTCTTCGCATTCGTGTTATTAGTCTCCGTATTAGTATCCGCGTTCGTCCTCCTAGGCATGGTATTCGTCTTTCTAGTATTAGTATGCGCCGTCTCGTGGTATGTGATATGATGGTCGGATTCGTCTGTGTGATATTCGCATGCTTATTATTCTTAAGAGTAGTAGCATTAGTAGTCGTGATATGAGTCTCCGTATGATTAGTATTAGTAGCACTCTGCTTATTATTCGTTTTGTTCGTCATAGTCGTACCATTCGTGTGAGTATCGTGAACCGGCGTAGTAGTTTCTTCTTGGTCGTGTTCATATAAATAGGATTGCTAGTATGATTCGTAGAACTCGTACTCGTATCATTCCTCGTCCTCCTCCACCTTATCATCACCCTCTTCCTCCTCATCCTCCTCCTCCGCCTCCGCCTCCTCCGCCTCCGCATCCGCCTCCTCCTCCTCCTCATCATCATCATCATCATCAGCAGCTTCAGCGTCCTCCCCCTCCGCCCCCTCCTCATCCTCCACCTCCTCCTCCTCCTC